ACCCTCTAACACAGGGATCCTCAAACTCTGGCTACCCAGATGTTGCTGAACTACAACTCTGGCTATCTATGTAATTCAAAGAATCATGGGAGTTGTAGTTCAGCAACATTTGGGGGGCCGGAGCTTGAGGACCCATGCTCTAACAGCTAGAGAGTATTATAAGCATAAGTGTTTTTCCTGATAGTTGTGAGTTTACTACAAACACATTGTTGATCTACATGAGGGTTGCAGCCCCATCTGAGCCCTCATACAAATACATCAACTATACAATAGAAGAAATATATCTACTGACAAGAATAATTGAAGGCTTGAAGGTAACTATAAAATTTTTTGGTACCAGGCACCGAATACATGATAATGTGAACACAGATAGGTGTGGTAATGATTTGCGCTTATTTGATACTTTATATATAGTGACAATCCTTTAGCTGCTGAAAACACTCTGTGGGTACTCCCAATACACCACCGTAAGACAATAAACACCAGAGAGAAAACAACTTGAGGTTTGGTTGGTATTTCTACCTCCCAAGCCTCTAGTTAGAGTGCAGCGCTATGTAAAGTGAATATATTGATTGTGTGTATATAACTCACCCCTTTTTGATCAACTTGTTAGGGGGTATACATGTAAAAAATGAGAAACACAAAGAATAATCGTGAAATATTATATATACACAGTGTGCAATAGTTTCAGTGAGTTGAAATTTACTCACATTCTTTAGAGCCTTTTAAGTTAAATACTAAATACATGATGCCCTTTTTTGTTGGCACAAAAATATGTATTCCCAGAGTTAAAGGTTTTTGCAAAACACTTCTGCAAAATGGGATATTATCTACATTAACTACAAGCAAGCAAAAAGTATCATTCAAATTCCTCACTATAACCTACAAAACAGGACATTTTTGTATTTTTCACTCTCCACCAAACATCAGTACAATTGTGCTCAATAGACATTGTCAAACAATTTCTAGACTTCAATAAAAGCAGAAAAATATGGTGTTCATCAGAAGTCCAGGTGTTACAGTTTTCAAATGCACTACAGACATCATTTAAAAATAGAAAAGACCATGCTTTTTTTTTTAATTTTAGAAAGGCACTAAAATCAAAGATTTTAAAACCTACATAGCGACGTTTCATAAGCACATGTATATTAAAGTTCTCATTTGTCCAGATTAAAGGGGCACTCAACTGCTCAAATACAAAATATAAATAAATAAATCACTGTTGTAAGTAGTTAATTATGCAATTATTTAATTGGGGTATATCTAAAAACAGTTTGCAAGAGGTGCAGATCTCTTGCCTGCAGCGTTTGAAAGTCCTTCCCTTCTAACCCCGCAAAAGATTTTCTGTGGCTGTCCAATCACAGACTTTCTAATGCAGCTCCATGAAAAGTCCTTGCAGGGCAGGTGCTCTGAGCAAGTGTCTGCCTCTGGAGTGTAGCTCAAAAAAAGCTAAAAAATTAGGAATATATATATATATATATATATTATATTACCTATAATATATATAATATATATATATATATATATATTATAGGTATTTTTCTTTTTTAACAAAAAATATGTAATAAAAAAAATATTAAACAGTAAGCATATGCAATGCACAGGCAATCTCACTGACACAAGCACAGATGCTCACTGATTAACAGTCTCACAAACAGACTCATTAATACACATGAGTGCACTGACAATTGTACAGACACAAACACACAAGTTCACTGATACACAAAGGTTCACTGACACATAGACAAGCTTACTGGCACATGCACACAAACATAATACAGACAATCTCTCTGAAACACACATATGCTTACTACAGACAAGCTCACTAACACTCATATGGTTATTACAGACAAGCTCAATGAAACACACATGCTCAGTACAGGCAAGCTCAATGATACACACACATGCTCACCAAAGACAAGCTCACTGACACACACATACAACCTCACTCACTGCAAACAGACAAACTCCCTGTTAGTTATTGTACACACACAATATAACGCTCAGTCTTAAGCTGCTGGGTATTTTAAGACCATTAGTACCTGGCAGTAGGAGCACCGAGAAATTTTTCGGTCTCTTTTCCTGCCAGGGAGGTCAGCTGATTGAGGCTGGGGGGCAATGATCGAGTCTGGGGGTGGAAGCACAGAAAAGCTCCTGGAAACTGTGAAGGGAGACCTACAGTGCTCCTTACTCCTCCCTACAGCTAGCAAGGTGCTAATTTTTGCAGGCCTCAGCCCCCTTCACCTCACTCCTTAATTCCATTGTACTGTGGACAGTCCTAGGGTAAAAATAATTTAAATTGCATTAGGGCTGCATGCCTGACCCCAGGTGTTGTAACACACTTGGAGAATCTCCATCCGGTCAGCAGCCAGCAAGTAACAGGACCGGTTGTCTGATTGGGGGAAGTGGGTGTATCAAGGTTAGTATATGGCAGTATTGAAATATGTACTCTTTTGTAAAATGAGAACACACTCTTTACACATAAACCCAGGGCCGGCGCGTCCATAAGGTGGCACCGGCAGCCGCCTTAGGGCACCAGAGCAGGGGGGGTGCAAAAATCCGAATTCCCTGCCTGTGGGTATCACACAACAGGCAGGATCTCGGCTGGCCTCTTCTGATGATGTCAGGAGGAGGGGCGTGACTTTCACTGCTCTTCTACAGACTCCACAATCTGCAATCCACAGGAGATTCTGGGATAAGAGCAGTGGAAGCCACGCCCCTCCTCCTGACATCATCAGAAGAGGCTGGCCGACACTCCTGGCTGCTCTGTGCTGGCTGCAGGCTTCTGCTCCAAGCTCAGGTAAGACTCAGGGGTGGGGGAAATTTTTTTTCTTAGACCTTGCCCCCCTCTACAGCCCCTGCCCACCACTTCTATAGCCCCTATGTTCCCCTCTCAAGCCCATGTTCCTCTTTCAATAGACCCTTCAGTCCCTGTATCCCTATCTATATCCTCTGCATCCCCTTTTACAGCCCCTACCCAACCCTTCTGTAGCCCCGGTGCCCCCTTTAAAAGCCCATACCCACCCCTTTTACAGCCCCTGCCCACCCCTTCTATAGCCCCTGTGTCCAGCACCACAGCCCATACCCCCACTCTACAGCCCATACCTTCCACTCTACAGCCCATACCCCCACTCTACAGCCCATACCTCCCACTGTACAGCCCATGCTCCCACTCTACATCCCATGCCCCACCTTTTACACCCCTACCCCACTTCTATAGCCCCTGTTCCCCTCTTTACAGCCCTTTCCCTCTCTCAGCCCCATTTCAACCCCTGTGTCCCAACCCTCTACAACCCCTGTGTCCTCCCACTCTACAGCTCCTAAGTGTGCCCACCTCTAGAGCCCCTGTGTCCTCCCCCTCTACAGCCCCTACAGTTCCTGCCCCCTCACAGACCTTGTCCTTCCTTGTACATACCCTATCCCTCACTACCGCCCCTGAACCCCTTCTAGAACCCATGTGTCCCCATCTACAGCCCCTTTCCACCAGGAATGAAGTGGTCTCAACCCCTGTGGGTTTTTTTTTTTTTTTTGGGGTGGGGCTGCAAAATGCTACTTTGCCTGTGTAGCTAAAACTCTTTGCACCGGCCCTGCATAAACTTCTTCAGCAAGCTAAAGTGCTTTAGGTGCCTGAAGTATAATTTTAGCAATTTATCCAACCTTTTTACTCCCACCCTATTTTTTTTATGCAAACACACACACAAATGGTTTTATTTTGTTTGCTAATGTAAACATGTTAGGTTTTTTTATTACTTTCTGTCAAAATGAATCATCATTTCTTTAAATCATAAAACAAAACTTAGAGAAAAGGGTTGTAGCCATATTTATTCATTCCCCAAAACTTGGCAAACAAGATTAAGGAGATTCTATTATTACCTTTATTGAGTTTTATTCTTTTACAATAAAAAATACCATTTTGTTCACTGCAGCAAAATGTACAGTTTCCTGTTTTTTTTTTCCATCTTCTTTTTCAAATGATGAATTGTAGTATATTCATTGATAAACTGTAAATCAGGCATTATTCTCATCTTAGCTTGTTACTTCAAAAGACAGAAATGAATTAGAGAGCGAAGTATTCTTACCGAATCACAAAGAGAAACATTATGTACTACATCAATCATTTTGCTAATTCTAGAGGTTCAAAAATGAATTGCTCTGACACAAAGGACCTAAAAAGAATTCAAAATAGTTTGACATTGCTTTTTCTTCCTTGCAAACACACAGTGAGCTCAGTGACAGGGTAAGGATGCAACACAATCCTAAAATGACTTATTCCCAGTGCTCTACTCTAGGAACATTTTTTAATAGCAAAGCAATATCAGACATATGCAGGCCTCTAAAAACTATTCTTCAGAATACTTTAGTTTAGGCATGTTTGTTTATCAGTAACAATTAGTAATACAAGCTTAATAAATATATTTTATGCTTTTGTTTTATTTTACAGTGTTTTGCCGATAGCTTTAGTTTTACTTTAGCAGTATCCTCAGTCCCTTCAAAACTAAATTCTTTTGAAGAGGAAAAATGTAAGTGTAAAATGTAATTGAAAGATGAGGATCAGACTTATCACATGAAATTAGGACAAAACTGAAATTGTATACATCAACTGCTATTTTTTTTATATACCCATATCAATTAGTATGCATATACAATTTCATATTGTGTCGAAATGTTATGGGAGCATACATAAGATCATTTGTGGGTAATTCCCTTAAATTGCAGAGCATTGAAATTCCATTTTTCTAAATATGTTTTTTTTTTGGTGTTTATGGTAAGGTTTAATTTACAATCCTTTTCAAAGGTTCAGAAAAAAATAGACTATTAAGTTTAGAATTCACAGTAGATGGCCAGATACCAAGTTCTAACTTATAAAAACAAAATCCAGTTATTATGGGAATGCAAACTGCTACAATGCAAGGGAAATGTAAACATTATGACCTTGCATTCTGCTCAGGGATGTAGCTAGGTTCCAGAAATACCTGGAGCTTGAGCCCAGTGGCGTACCTACCATGGTCGCAGGGGTCACAGCTGTGACCGGGCCCCTCACTGCAGGGGGCCTGGCCACAGCCACAACCCCTGCGACCGTGGGCTGGCTAAATGCCACTCCCTCCGTGTTCCCCCATCATAAGGGGGTCCAAGAGGTGGCCCACTGGCCACCTAATGGACCCCCCCCCGGCAGGCGGGGAAGTTCCTGTCACATGCGGCGAGGGAGCTGTGATCTCTCTGCTCTGCTCCCTGTGGATGTGTCTGTGTGTGCATGTATGTGTTTGTCTGAGGCTGTTTTTGTGATTGTACTGCATTGATTGTTATTTTAATATTTTGGTCCCTGAGGAAGTCCCATATTCTGTAGAAGGGACGAAACGCGTAGGACCTTTATCTGTATCTATTTTATATTTTTAAACAATTAAAGCCGCTTTTTTCATATCTTCACCTGGAGTCCTGCATTTTGAGTGGAAGTGTCCAGGGGATTTCTCTAGCCCCCCATATCATCAGGGGTGGCACCATATATGCCTGAACTGTCCAATATCCTGTGAGTGCATTTCATATTGCGCAGTGTTAATATTTTAAAACTGTATTACACTATACCTCTTTTTATTTATCTTCATTTAGACAATCAGCCGGTTCCCTCGTTGTGTTTTGTATATTCATGTGTTTGTCTGTGTGTGTGTCGGAGTGTATGTGTGTGTGTCTGTAAGTGTATGTGTCTGAGTGTGTCCTTGAGTGTGTGTGTCTGAGTGTGTGTGTCTGTAAATGTATGTGTTTCTCAGTGTGTGTATGTGTGTGTCTGTGAGTGTGTGTGTGTATGTAAGTGTATGTGTATCTGAGTGTGTGTGTGTGTGTCTGTGAGTGTATATGTCTGAGTGTGTGCATGTGAGTGTATGTGTGTGTGTCTCTACATGTGTCTGTATGTATGTGTCTGCATGTGTATCTGTTTGTCTGCATGTGTGTTTGGGGGGCGGGGATGTGTGGGGTAGGAGGTAGATGTATGGGGGGGCACCCAGGGCAGTTTTCAACTGGGGCCCCATGGTTTATAGTTAGGCCTCTGCTTGAGCCTGTAGGAAACCTCAGTGACCCCTACACTAACATTGAGGTGGGGATATGACATGGCTAATCCCTGCCTTTTTATGTTATATCCACTACTCATGAAAGTATAGCCAGAAGCAATCACATGCTACACAGTTAAAGGACCACTATGGGCACCCAGACCACTTCAGCTTAATGAAGTGGTCTGGGTGCCAGGTCCAGGTAGGTTTAACCCTTTTTTTTATAAACATAGCAGTTTCAGAGAAACTGCTATGTTTATAAATAGGTTAATCCAGCCTCTAGTGGCTGTCTCTTGATAGCCACTAGAGGCACTTGCGTGCTTTTCACTGTGAAAATCACAGTGAGAAGACGCAAATGTCCATAGGAAAGCATTATGAATGCTTTCCTATGAGACTGGCTGAATGCGTGCAGCTCCTGCCGCGCATGCGCATTCAGCCGAAGAGGAGGAGACGGAGAGGAGAGCTCCCCGCCCGGAAGCTGGAAAAAGAGGTAAGTTTAACCCCTTCCTCTCCCCAGAGCCCGGTGGGAGGGGGTCCCTGAGGGTGGGGGCACCCTCAGGGCACTATAGTGCCAGGAAAACGAGTATGTTTTCCTGGCACTTTAGTGGTCCTTTAAGTATTCAATAGGTTATTTTCCCTTAACAATGGAGAACTGAGCAGTTAGATTGCAGGGGCAGGATATATACACCAAAGTCATTCCATTAAGCTATAGTTGTTATGGTGCTGATAGCATACCTATAATACATTAGCCCCAACTCAAGTGACAAAATAGGTCTGCACCTATCATTAATTAAAAAGAAGTAATAAGATCTCTATTTTTATTATTTTAGTTTTATTATTTTAAGTATCCCTACTTGTTAACATATATAGGCTTACTTCATTTCTAAAATAAATCTCTTGGTTTCATTTATTGTATATTGATTTTGTCTGTATCCTTCTACATTATTGACCTTTATTAATGTATTGTGCTTATAAGTAGATTCATTTGACAACATGGTTATCAAAAATACACAATTTGTAACGTTACAGTGACCAATTTATTTCCATGTGTTTCATTTTTTATTGATTTGTTTTTATCTATTTACCTATTATCACTAAGACATGATTTACGTCTATTTCTTTTTCCAATAACTGGCAAAGCTGTGTTTAATTTTAAACATAATGTTCATTAAAATACATATGATGTATAACTCCATGGATTATGCAAAACATTTAAACATTAAATGGATTCTATACTTACCATAACAACTACAGTTTAATGTAGTTGTTCTGGTGTCTACAACACGTCCCTGCAGGCTTTTTAAAGGGATACTATAGTCACCAGACAACTACAGCTTAATGTGAGTGCCTTCAGGCATTTTCATGCATACACTGCCTTTTCAGAGAAAATTCAGTGTTTATATTGCCCCTAGGGACATCTCCAAGTGGCCACTCCTCAAATGTCCACTGGAAGTGCTTCCTGGCTCAGTGCTGCACAACAGCATATTCAATGCATATCTACAAGGAGGTGCTGATTGAACAAAATGGCGTTTGGTCCCGCCAGCACCAGTGGACCCACATGCAGCTGAAAATAACGTGAGTTTTTTTTAACTTTTAAGGGGGCTAATGGCAGGGAGGGGCAAGCCACCTATAGGGTCAGGGATATATGTTTGTGTTCCTGACCCGATAGTGTTCCTATAGTTTCAGAGAAAAGGCAGTGTTTACATTACTGCCTAGGAACACCTCTAGTGCAGTCACTGTGCACTGACTCAATGGATTCAATGCATCTTTATGATTACATGCTGATTGGAGCAGCATTGCGAACTATCCAACTTTTTTCTTTGTTTTTCATTGTATGTCTTGGGGCTGCTATGTACTATAGTCATTGCTGCCACCCAGGAGTAGTGGGAGTTTGAGTGCAGGGCTTAATTTTGTATGTTTGTATTTATTTTTGTATTACACAGCCATGTTACAGTGCTGCCACCCACCCCATGTGTGCCCTACTAAAGGTTAAAAAGTGTGTAGGAGTTTAAACAAATACCCCTTTCTGTCTTATTTGAGATTTTACCTTTTAGCTGAGGCAGCAAGGTGAATTGTTAGTGTAGGACTCACCTAAGAGGTTTTTTCTTGATGTGACATGTTGCCAGGGTCTGCAGTGCTGCACCCATATCCCACTATCATTTATATACGATTACAACCATTGCAAATGTACTTCATTCATTGCAAACAGATTTCATTTGCAATGGCTGTGCTGCAAATGCTCCCCCCCGATCAGAGATCGGAAGGGGGTATTTGCAGAAGTCTGCTCTCAGTCAGCAGTACGGGTAATATCATGGTAATGTGGCAACATATACAAAATATTCAATTCTCAAATACAGTAGATATACATATACACACAACTGCTAAATAATAATGCGCTATCTAGGCATTCTGAAATGAAAAAGATTCTGGGGGTGTTTTTTTTCTGTAAACCACTTGGTAGTGAAGGGGTTAATAGGTTAGAGCAGCAACTTCATGCATCATATATTATAAGTGCATATGTACAAATATACAGTGGGTGGCGTTGTTACAAATATACATTATTATTATTATTATTATTATTTATTTATCACTAATTTATTTTCCATTACTTTACAATGTTAACCCCTTTGCTACTGAGCAATTTTTGATTGATAAAATATTAACATAATATGTATTTGAAGCAAAGTTACACACATATATTACAACACTCTCTCTCTCTCTCTCTCTCTCTCTCTCTCTCTATATATATATATATATATATATATATATATATATTTATATTTCACAGCTTAGCTCCAAAAGGTCCGCACTCACTGCCTACCATAATATACAAACGAGATAGTTCTTGAGTAGTGCATCTTTATTCGTTAAGAATGGTGGCATAGCATGCAAATTGCAGGCAGACCTCATAAACAATCTCAGAAAGGTATATTTCTATATTTCTAAAATAAAGGTATTTACAACTGTTATGTTTATCAAAATCTGGATTGCTTACATTTCCAGCAACTTTAAAGGCATTTTTTTTTTAAATAAAAGATCAAACAAATTATATAAAATGTAATAAAATATCAAAATTTTAACAGTCTTCTTTACTCATATTTACCAAGAATGATAATATTAGTGAATGACACTGTATACTATTTTACTATTATTATTATTACTATTATTAAATTTTAACAGACCTTTCTTTTTTTTTTCTCTGATATTAACCATGTTGTTTAAATGTAATGACCTGCAGTTATTTGAATCCTGCTCAAGTTAACAACTCTAACAAAATTCAGTCCTATTTGAATACAGCACAATCTGATTTACTCTAAATGCAGGGTGAAAGAGCAGGGAACTCTATGAACATGTTGATTTGGTAAAAAAAAAAAAAAACTTTTTTATTTGCAATGATCTGTAATATGTTGATGCTTTTCAAATACATTCTTTCATAGTTATGAACAGCAAGCATCGTGTTTCAGTAACAATTTTCTGTAGTAAAATGGTTGGAATGACTAAGATATTTCTTCTCTATCTTGTTTTTTAGCTTATTGGAAACATTTATGAAATCTGACATCTGCAAGAACAGTCTATGACAAATTGTTATAGAGAAACCACAGATTGGATTTAAAGGCAGCTTTGTGAAGCAGATGGGATATAGCGGAACCTCTTGAGTACTGGGGATGGATAGGAGAGGAGTTTCATATTGCAGACAAATAAGTTGCTCATCCCTCTAACTCTGAACGAGTTAAATTATAAAAGGAAGACACAATGAAGGGAAGATTTTTAAGAAAAATCTGCTGTAACAGGCTAAGGAAAGATACATTGTTAAAATGATACCGCAAGCACCAAATGGCAGTTAAAGGGAAACCCCAGTGCCAGGAAAACAATCCATTTTCCTGGCACTGCCTCCCACCCCCCAATCCCCGGTTGCTGAAGGGGTGAAAACCCCTTTAGCAACTTACCAGAGGCAGCAACATGTCGCTGCTTCTTCCTCCGCCGCCGCTCCTCCCAGTGATCCCACTGGCCGGGGAGACCTAATGCGCATGTGCGGCAATACTGCGCA